AAAGAAGGGGGGGAGTGAGTGAATGAGTTGCCTGACTGGGTTTAAACCATGACAGGATGAACTCAACTTTTCAGGTGCCAACTAACTTAGTTAAGAGAAAAAAAAAAGTCATTATTTTTCTATGTGGAGCCTATCTATAATGGAGAACTGACAGACACAGATAATCCAGGATATTTATTCAAGTATACTTCAGCCAGTATTAATTTAGTCCAGGACAAGTCCTTTCTGTCTTCATAAGCATATTTTATGCTCAAGAAAGTCTTTTTAGAAGGGAACCACATATTCAAATGCTACTCTAAAGTGGGGAAATCAGTAATATCTACTCAAGTTGGATTTTAATAACTCACCTTGAAACCTCTATTTATAAGTTATTTCTATCCATTCTCTGCCACTTGTGTGCTTGAAAGTTCTCCTGTCAGTACAATTTTGAATGTGTTCTACACCTAGTGCATCCTCCTTGTTTAGCATAATGCAGATGTTCAGGCCTCCCTAAGCCCTTGCTGTGAATGTTTAGTTCTGTTCCTGTATAGTCCTAGAAGAGTTCTTACCCCAGAGCTGATTATTTTTACTCAGAAGACTGAAAAGATGCAGATAGTTGCGAATGTGCCTGTGTCTTTTTGCTGTGTGGGCAAATGCTAGTGTTGGAACAAACTGACCTTCAAATCCTGTTTATCTGAATAGGTTTGTTTGCTGCTTTTATTTTTGGCTACCTATTGCAGCAGATAAGCACCAGATAACCCATCTTATGTAAAATTTGCAGTAACACTGCTAAACAGCTTCACTCTGTACAGTCTTGCATGTTCATTGAATCAGAATTAAGATACATCACATTGCCGTTCTTGGATTTAAAGTTTAGTCATTTTAAAGCTATCTAAGGAACCACCTAATTTGGTTGTGCTTCCATATATATTTTTTTAAACCACCCTGAAGCATGAATGGCTTAGTTAAAGGACATGACTGAATGGGATACTTTTCTCAAGCAGACCCTTTAGGATACCAGAGTCTGGAGTTAAAATGAACTCTAGAGAATTGCCTCTTGTTTTAGTCTCATTGCTGTGGTACCTAAATATAGTCTGAAAAAGATATAAATGGATCTAGCCCACCTAAATCCTAAACTGGGACAGAAATCCTCAACACTGAAAACATCTCAGGAAGCAACCCAGCCTATGCACTTGCAGGACCGCCTACCTCTATTCTATGTTCAGCAGATGGCTTCCTATCTAGTTTGAAAGCTCCTTGAGTGCTTAATTTGAACTACTTGTGCATAGAAGTACACTTAAGAGAGCGTGCAAGTCATTAGGTGAACATCCTCTCCAGAGAATGAAGTTGGATTAAATCTGGAGTGGCTGAGGGTTTCTTGCACTCTGGGTTAAAGACTGAGACACCTAGAAGGGCAACAGTGCCTTCAGGACTAAGGAATGTCCTTACATCCCCAAACAAGTTGCTTTCTCTGTGGGCTGCTTAAAACAGGTGAAGTGATATCTCTCTGCAGATCTTTGGGATAACTTCACTGACCATACATAAAGTCCTTCTAGTGCCAGGTACCTAAAACTTTAGTGATGCCATGCCTAATTTAGGCATTTCAATGAGGCAATTTGCAGTTCACATAAAGTAATGTAGCATACAGAATTCTTAACCTGACCGTAATAATATGCAATGCTTAAAAATAAGTTTCAAAGAGAAAAGTCTTTAAAAAATGGCAAATAATCATACAAGAATAAAATGCAAATCAGCACTTTCATGTGGTTGGATCCTGCTTATGCACTCCCCTTCACAACATAAATACTTGAATCGGAAAACAACACTTGTACCATGCTTCTCTCAGCCTTCTGGGAGATCTGACTGCAACTTCCCAGGCTGGAGAGGGAAGCTGGTGAAATAAGCACTATAGGAAGGGAAATAAATGTTATTCATGGCTGTCTTACATGCCTTTACACAATCTGTACAGTAGAATTACACAGTTTTCAAAAGGTAGAATAAGCCAGACTGACCTGATAACCTTTCTTTTGGTAACTGTGGTTTATCTGTCTGGATGCCAGGAAAATATCTATATCATGATATGAAATATGCATAGTTAAGTAAGAGAAGTTGGTGACAAATCCAAGTACATGATGGATAAGGAACTGACTAAAAGCAAGCTGGCAGCAAATTTTGAAAAATGGAAATTCCACATATAGCCTGAAAGGAGGCTGTATGTGGAATTCCACAAGGACTGGTCTGTAGTTGGCTTTGAACCAGAAAGTTTATACAAAGATGTGAGCGCAGCACTGTCAATGCAGTGGATGACTAGAATATTTTACAAATAACAGACAAGTTAGAAGACCAAAGCAACAAAACCAGAATGAAACCTTAAAGTACAAATGCAGGCAAGTGTACTTGGAAACATTTGTTGCAGACCCTTAATTAATTGGTGTCTGCTGGAAACAGCAACAGAGAACGAGAAAGACTAAGCTGATTTACAGCTGCAGCATGACAATATCACTGTGATGCAATCACAAGAAAAACAAGTGTTATTAAGGGACATACTATAAAACATATTTCCCTGGATGCCACAGTAGAAGATACAGGTAAGACCTGAGCTGAAATACTGCACATTTCTGGTGACCTCTCTTTCAGAAGAGATAAATTAAAAGTGGAAATCCTGTACCATTTATGTACATCTTAAGACTGTAACAATGCCTGAGCTCTGTTGTATCACAAAACAGCAGACGCAATTCTATGTTCTTTTTCTGGAATATACAATTGACACCCAGAAGGACTATGAAGATGAATGGAGAGCCTCACTTACAGGAGGTGACTTAAATGAGTTTGGCTTTTTCTGTCTAGTAAAATGAAGGAACCTCATCAGCATAGACCTCAGAAAGGCAGAACTGCAGAAGCAAAAGCCAGTGTAGATGCTAAATAAGATAAGCTGGTCATGAATATATTTAGGTTGGAAATCAGAAAAAGGTTTGTAATCATAACAGAGTGAAGGTCAGAAACACTGAGAAAAAAGATCTTACCTGGAATCTCAAGAGGTTGAATTTATGATGTGGGAATACCAAAATTTGTTGCTGCATCTTATGACTCTTAAACCAATCGCAAATAGGTTGTTTCACATTGAAATATGACGTAAGAGTTGAATCTACAAGAGCTGAATCCTTTATCCACAGCAGAGGATAAAGGGAAAGCACGGCACACTCACCTGAAACTGCCAAAGTCATGGTGCAGGCACAGGAATTACACTGGACAGTGGCATCCTCTGACTCGAGCAGATCCAGAATTGGCTCAAGTAAACCCATTTGGACAACTAATTCTTTGTCAACTATATATAAATTCAAGAAAAATGGACAAACAATAAAAGTAAACAGTTAATGCCTTTGTGAAGATAATGTATTTTCCTTTGATGGCTTTGGGGGTCTATACTATGATTATGCGACATAGGCCAAACATGGAAACAACTTGAAAGGCACTCACAGTCCCTAGCTTGGTTTGCTTGATTCCTCTGCAGACTCATGAAAGAGTGCAAGTGGTTCTATTTCAGAAAATCCCAAACATTTCTGGTAGCAATTCTGGTTTCAAACATAAGGTTCATTTTGAAAAGTGCAGCTGCAGCACTATTTTTTACTTGTAAATAATGGCATGATATTTGCAGCAAGATCCTTAAAAAAGAAAGCAAGCTAGCTTTATTGAAGACTGACCCTGTCTTCTGCAGTTATGGGCTAGTGTAATGGCATATCTGTTTTGGCCCAGGTGCCAGGGAACACAGTAGTTGATGCAACAAGGACTCCATTGACATGGTGTGGGGACATATCCTGTCTATCAAGATGAACTTTACTGGGAAGGTTTTCATCTGCAGCTCCCAGATCCTACATCAATTATATTTTGCCCTATTAGCTACAGAAGAAAGGGAGTTCTATAACACAATCTTTTTTGTTTTTTTAAATCTGTGAGCAATTTAAGACAAAGGTCCTGTTAATAAATAACAAGAAAATAAGCCCTGTCTCATAGGCAGAATGTATTTATTACATCTGCATCTGTTGAAAAGCTAAGTGGTGGGCTCTTGATCCAAGAATGAAAATTGTATTAACTGTTCCCACAACTTTGGAATAATTTATCAGCCTTTGCATACAGATCCAAGATCTCTTGCCACATGATCTAATCTAGTTGAAGGGGTGACGTGAGCTGGCAGTGTGTGCTCGCAGCCCACAAAGCCAACCGTATCCTGGGCTGCATCAAAAAGGAGCGTGACCAGCAGGTCAAAGGAGGTGATCCTGCCCTTCTACTCTGCTCTCTTGAGACCTCACTTGGACTACTGTGTGCAGTACTGGTGTCCTCAACGTAAGGACATGGAACTGTTGGAACAAGTCCACAGGAGGGCCACAAGAATGATCAGGGGGCTGGAGCATCTCCTGTTATGAAGACAGGCTGAGAAAGTTGGGGCTGTTCAGCCTGGAGAAGAGAAGGCTGCGTGGAGACCTCACAGCAGCCTTCCAGTATCTGAAGGGGGCCTATAAGGATGTGGGGGAGGGACTCTTCATTAGGGACTGTAGTGACAGGACAAAGGGTAGCAGCTTAAAACTTAAACATGGGAAGTTTAGATGTAAGGAAGAAGTTCTTTACTGTGAGGGTGGTGAGGCACTGGAATAGGTTGCCCAAGGAAGTTGTGAATGCTCCATCGCTGGCGGTCTTCAAGGCCGGGTTGGACAGAGCCTTTGATGACATGATTTAGTGTGAGGTGTCTCTGCCCATGGCAGAGGGGGTTGGAACTTGATCTTAAGGCCCTTTCCAATCCTAACTCTTCTATGATTCTATGATTCTATGTGGTATATCCTGATGCCACTAGAATCTATCTGTCTGCAGATAGAGACTCCCATGTTTCCTATCAGGAACACAGAAAAAGGAATTTGGATTTGTGTAGACCTGGCCATGTCGATGTGCCCTCCTTCTGCCTGACTAGCTGAAGAGGTATTTTTTCACCTGAAGAGAACATGTGTTAATTACTCACTGTTTCCTTCCAGCAAGAAGTTTACAAGGGACAAAGAAGACATCTGCTGCACCTCCAGGTCAGCAGACCTTAGTAACGCATAGAAGGGTTCCAGATGCTCCACAGGCAGGGAGATGTTCACTGGAGGAATGAGAGGAAATATTGAGGACTCTCATGGTTCACTGCAGTCACATTTATCTCTTGTTGGTCTTAAGCCTCAGGTGTTCCCATATATAGGCTGAGAGGTATTCCCCTTCATTTAAATCCATTGCTACTAGCAAAATAGGGCAAGTTTCCTGAAAAGGATTTGAATAATCAAGTACTTCAAAAACATCACAGGAAGGGAAGCAATTTGCCTTGCTGCCGAACAAGTCATTCCACCCCACAGGAGCTCCTCATGTTGTGGCTATCTGCACTTTCAATCTAACAAAAAAGCCATGGTATAAAGCTATCAAGCCAAGTGTCAGAATTCTTTCCTTGAAGTAAATGTAAAACAAAATAAATAAATCACAGCTTGCTTGTTGCTGGGATTCTTACCTTTTTGTAAGACCCAAAAGCTTGCTAGAAGTTTGTTTGGCATATCTAGGCTGACTTTCAACTGTTTGCAAATTACCTCAGAATCCAAGTGCTCCCATGTAATAGTCAGGACAAAGAACATCTCCTTCATAAATTTCCAGTAGGATCTGACCTCTAGAGCTTTGTCCTCTTCCAAAAATTACATAAAACCATAAATGTTCCATTATGTCCATTTCCTTCCACCACATTTTGACCATGCTGTTCTCAGGAGATTCAGTATATACTGACTCTAACTACTTTGGGTTCTACTGAGTTTTACAGAAGTAGTACAATTACATAAATGACAGTCTTTTATAATCATGACAGATATCTCCTCATGGTAAATCCCAGAATGATTCTGCCCACATGGATATGATGGCATTTTCATTTTCCTTAGCAAACAACATAGCATGAAAGAAAAAAAAAGTAAGAGAAAGAAATTTGATTAATAAATCAAAGGGAGTTTCACAGTTGGAGATAATACTTTTGTTTATAATTATGTGAAAATTTTTTAGTGCACCAAAATAACTTACTGTGCTGACTCATATGCAAGTAATAGAGGGCAGCAGACTGCTGTAAACCTGCGTTTTCTGAAAAGGCTAAGGTCCTCAAGGCCTCCAGAGGGTCCTTTCCAAGGGGTGACATTTCAAAACCTAAAGAGGTACAATGACAGCACAGACTCAATCACACCTGTAAAGGGTTAGTTTACCAAAAGAAGTTAAAATTTACAGCCAACCAAACACATAAGGATTTTAGTACTGCAACAACTCCATAGAGCCCATCTATCCTTATTCGTGTTTCAATGAGCAACAGCAGTAAATGAACCTGGAATAACCTGTCCTTATCAATGCCTCTTGTGAAGCTCACAAAGCTAGTGATTGGAAGCAAGATAAATTATAACCTTTAGACACTTTTATGCTCTACAATATAAATGCAAGTGTTCTTGTTCTCCATAAAAATCTTTATCTTTTCCTGAATCACAGAAAATCTTTGTTAAAATATATTTACTGAACATGGTGTTCTTAGATATAAAAAGAGTACATATTTCTAATTTACTGCATTTTAAGTTCACCATATTTCCTGTCCTGGATATTACAATAAAGGATTTCAGGGAACAGCAACATAGTTTGCAAATGGGCTTGCCTCAGGCTCAGATTTGTAGAATGAGTCTACCTGGTTTTGAGTATGACAGCTCCCCTATGAATAAACCAGATGTTCAGCAAAAGCCATCAAACAATAGCAGTTGTGCATGACTTCTGTAAGTCACTATATAATGTCCTTATAATGTGTGGAATGGAGCAGCAGAGAGGAAAAAAATATGAGTCACTGAACCACTGCTCAACAGTATAAACTGTTTGAAAGGTAATGAAGTAATTAATTGACTGGTGGAGCACACAACTGTAAGATATATTTTCAGAAAACAGATTAAAGCAGGATATTAAAGATTGAAATATCTCTATGAATAAGATCTAGCTACTTTACCTCTTATGGGATAAAGAGATGAGAGAGACGTGAGGGGTGTGAGCTTTCATGCCTCACTGCAAAATTCAGCCAGTATCTCAAGCCATTAGAAGCTGCTGACATGTCAAGAGTAGTAAACTCCTACTTTCAGGATTACATAAGTGGGTTTCACAAAAGAACTGCTTCATATAGAGGTCAATTTTGTTTAATAATTAACAATACACACAGAGGGAAGGACTAGCCAGTGTGCATAAGATTTTGGAGAAAAAAAAAAACAACCAAATCTCTTCATGTGGTTTAATTCCATTCCTTACACACCGACTATCTGAATCTCCCTCATATCTGTGCATTTTTGTTTGGGAGAGAGATAAAGCAGAAGCCAGTTAAAATCTTCACCTGCTGTAATATCAAGTATTTGCTGCCCTAGCTAATAGCTGAGTACGATGATCAACCATGAAATCTATCCTTGCACCCAAGTTGTCAAAATGTTGGCTCTCTGCTTATTATAATTTGTCCAGAATTGACACTGGGTTTGATCCATGTTGGAATAAACTACACAGGTGCCAAGGTAAGAGGCAAGTGTCTTGTTTCTCTGTGAAGCTTCCCTGCCTCCATCTGTCCTGGCAGCAGGATTTAGTCGCTCAGAGAATTAACCTTGGTTCTTCTTCCTGGGTGCTGTGTATGTCCCATCATGGACATTGGGATCTCCCTAAAAGCACATACTGCCATCTGTGTACTGCTGTCACAGAAGCTCTAGGCTCCCTGCTCCTGTACCCCAGCTCCTGAGTATCCAACACAAAGCAGCCTTTTCAAGAACCATCTCAAGAGATTAAAAGATTTTTCAAGGAAACAAGTCTTTTGAGGAAGCACCAGTGAGTGCTGCAAAGGGTCATTCCAGCCTCACCATTTTTTCCCAGATCATCCCTTCACTGCTCCTGATCCATCAATTGATCTGGGGTACTACCAAGACAGTTTATTTATATAGTCAGGAGTAATCTAGCCTTTAGAAGAAAAAGTTCAGCCCTGGAAGATCTCCATTGTCCATCAAGATGAAAGATCTGGATATGGACTTTAGGATTCAGACAGTGCTTAATGTGCAATAATTAGTGAACCATACCAACAGCACAAGACCCCCCACATTCATAGGGTAATGACTCCAACTAATACCAGCCAAGTCTAATGAATGTGTGTTCCCAACAATCAGCGTCACAGCAATTATTCCAAAGGTTGTTCCATGATGGAGTATTTCAAAGAGCATTAACTGTCACACCAGGGGAAAAAACATCTCTTCTGGTCCCCCTCACAAGATAGTTTTATGTCGCTGGAAAGGCAAGTAAAGAAATAGTAGTTTGTGTTCCACACCCTTCACACAAAGTAAAGTAGAAGGCTATGTAATTTTGTGAGTAGCTTTAGCCCAAAGTTGTTAAAGCAATATACCCAATGAGCTGTGAGCCAAAGCAAAACCAAACAAGCAGTGGCCCTACCTAAGCTTGAGACAAGGAATATTTTTAGGTTGGACAACTGACAAAACACACTAATCCAAGGTGATACTCTGTGACTGCAGGAGTGAAATAAAAAGAGTTTTCCTATTGATATTATAGGACAGGATAGAGAGAACATCACTGGATCTACAGGGGAATTAGGCAGGTAGCCTATAAAGCAGGGGAAGGGTTATGGATCTACTTTTGAGTCAAGTGGAATCCCATGATTGTGTTTAAAATGTTTGCACAAAAGCAGTTAGGCAGACCAGTTGCTTGGAATTCTGTGAGCCCAGTGGTGCTTGTCCCAAGGCAACTTCCCCACGCATACATTGCAGCAACTGAGCCAGGACCACACAGTGATTTGGCTGCTCACAGCTCGGCACTCATGGAACATCCAGTGTTAGTACAGCTTGTTTCCAGCTTTGTGACTTCAGTGACTGACTTCAAAATTTAACTTCAGCTACCAGGAGGACTCACATTTATGAAATGTTTACCTGGGCTATGTAGTAACAGTGGTGGCAGAGCAAGAAAGTGACTGACCATTTCTCCCTAGATACAACTGTTACACCACTTGAGCCCTTGGTGTCCTGTACTCAAAGAAAATACTCTATAGCTCTGGCTTTCCTACATCATCACCAAGCTGCTTCGTGCCATGCCAAAGCAGTTCAGACAACAATCTGTTTTCTACCCACAAAATGAACCTCCTTGTTCTTTCACAACCCTTTTGGAAAAAAACAAGCCCTCTTACCTGTTTCAATATGCTGCAGAAACTCCTGTGCTGTCACCTTCTCATGAGGTTGCAGGATGGGTTTGTACAACCGCCTGGCTTTAGAGCTGTTTTGTTTTAAGCAGAAGCATTGGCTTATCAGAGTTAAGCATTCTTTGATGCCCTGAACGAGGTCGGAAGACATCCTCTGAACAAAGGTCATGAAGTCCCGCAGCAGCTGCATGCATCGTCCACACAGTTGACCCATTCTGGCTCCAAAAACAGCGCAAAGCAAGAGGAAAAAGAAGGAGATGGAAAGAAGAGTTTCTTCTCAACTTGTCCACTTCTTGCACTAACTTACTTAGTGTTTGTCCCGTTTTACAGATATTAACACCATACCATGAGCAGCTGTTGTAAGCAAACAAACTTCTGCATCCAAACAGCTACATTACACAATAAGCCTGGCTTTTGCAGATCTCCCAGTCTACAAAACATTATTTAAAAGGCTGGGCTGGAGCCACACTCAAACACTCTCCCCTTGCTTGAAGAAAATGATGACTTAAGCACATTCTCTTTGGAGAACAAACAGAGTTTAACTCCTGGAGCATTCACCAAAGCCTTCATGAGGCTAGAAAAGCTCTGGGATAAAGGAAAAAGCTACCTCAGTTTTTGTAAGGCAGCTTTCCACATGAAAGCTAGGCACCACCTTGTTTGCATGTGTACAGGCTGCAACCGCCAATGGGAGAGGAAGATCAGAAAAAAAAAATAAAAAATAAAGAAGCATGTGAACAGGTTTTTCCAGTTTTTGCTGGAGCACATACCAGAACAAAGGCCCTGTTGGACAAACAGCTCATAGCCCAGCACCCAGCCAAGTGAGACTTTGCAAACCAGCAAGAAGAGAAAACCAGAAAAAAAAAAATAAAAATACAGTGACCAAATAATTTAGAAGTATGTTTTCCTCCTGTCAGTCAAATCCTGCAGAGTGGGCTGGATAAGCCAGCAATGGGAGGATGCAAAAATCATCTGCAGTTTTCATGCAGAAAAAGGTAGCAGAAGGAAAGAACAGTTCCACTCTTGCTCCATCCGTTTGCTTAAGTCAGCCTGGTGCATGTTCTCACCCTTTGTTAAACAGTTTTACAAATAACCTTGGCCTAATTAGTGTAGTATGAAGCGTCATTTGCAATACTCTTGAGCTTTCCAGTAAAATCTGGTTTGATTTAAGATCACCCTTTAGGGAACCAATAGGTACAGGTCTGCTGAGTGTGGATCACTTTTATTAACTTCTCTTTATCCATGGATTTGATG